TACCTGTAATTTCAAAAGCATTTCTTATTTCATCTGTATCTTCTACTTGAGTTACAGTGATACCCGTTAATGGAAGTTTTCCCTATGAATGGAGACAATATTGTTTTAAACGCTCCTATGAATTGGACATACAAGATATAATATACAAGAAAAGGGAAAAAGATGTCGAATATACTTCGTAAACGAAAGAGCTCATCCTTGGACTAGCGCTGAGAACCAAAAGGGTCGTTGGAAAAAGAACAAAGTATCTATCTCGACGATCTAGACCCGTGGTTCCGCTTGCCAAAGTAACAGATCCAACATAAAGAATTTCTCCGAGCGAGCTCAATTCTTCTCCCTCCCATCCTTTGATGCCACTATTTAAAATTTGAAGCGCCAACTCGCGTTGTTTTCGTATGGATGCACATCGATCCTACAAGAGATTCTACGTAAGTAAGCATCGTACAACGAAAATATTAACAAGAAATATTAGCAAGAAATTTAAAGTAGCAAACAACGTAGAAATCAAAAGAACTCACCGCTATCTCTCTATACACAACTATACTGCGTTGTGTATCCCCTCTATCAGGATGATTCTTTTCCGTATATCTTTCCAATTCTTGAAGCATAGCAGAATATTTATCCAACCTTCGAAAAGGTTTACTTAATCCGGTTGTTAACACTAATATACCCGGCGATATTGCCCCGCTACGTTCCATGAAATCGTTCAATTCGTCTCTAGAAGAAAAACGAATTTGATTCTATAAAAAAAAAAATAACTTTCACATGTTATTTCATTCTTATACTTAACCTAAACTATAATAAAGATAATCTTATCATTTTACACGTGCCTGTACCGGTCTAAAATGCATACAGCTGTTGGATGATTACCGCAGTACGTTGTATGAATAGATTTTAATTTTGAAGCAAGCGTCAGAAAGAGATTTCCAACTCTAGAAGCGCGATCTTGCGTTATAGCTGCTTCCAAATTTGACAGCAATCGCTGATGTACTTCCAAAACTTCGTGTATATTACCCAAAAGTTGCTTGTATTCCTCTTTGTTTAATCTATTATAATTTATAAATTAAGGATTTATAATGAATTCCACTTTTGATATTGATATTGCAGTATATATAATAATAATAATAATATATATTAATAAATAATTTATCGTGTGTACTTACATGTTAGCAGATTCTAAAGGATGCAAAAAATTATTTATCAAACCCTGTAATTCCGCTACGTTTACTCGTTCAGAATCTATTAAATCCTTTAACACGATATCACGATTTTGATGCGCAGGTGATTCTAGTAAACTTTTCTCAGGAGATGCTTTCATAGTCGAAATGCTATTGTCTACAAATAAAGTAGAAACAAGCGTAATAGCAAAATAAGAAGAGTATATAACAGAGATTACGAAAACAATGAAATAGAGACTATTATACCCATCACACCTGTAACTCTGCATTCTTTGACATAATTAGCTGGAAACCACCCCGTTTTGTCGTGCAATGTTCCTTCCCACCAGCCTTCATCGTCTATTTGCGTTATTGTTATCACATCTCCTTTCTTAAAGCACAGCTGAAATAAGATTACATCATCAATGGAACTGCAAACCCAAAATCTATAAAAGTGTAGGATAAAATACAAAATAAAACATACCTCGTCATTGTTCTTTCCTTTGAAGGAAAACAGTGCGGTTACAAATTTTGGTGTGTCGGACTTCGACATGGTCGTCAATACGAATGCAATAAAACAGAAAAAAGAATTTTTTCTGTTCTATTTCCGTTCTAACGGCGCAGTTTCATCACACAGAAAAACGTTCGTGACCTTTCTTGAATTATTTTCCTGTCGATCCAAGTTTGCTCGTACTACAAAATTCGAAATGCTACATCGAAGAACTCGTACATTTGTTAAATATATCCGCTCGTTCAATACGCAGAAAATTACGTTTCATACTGTTATCCTTGAGCGCTTTGACATCTCGCTGTTAAGCGTATCACTTTCAGTTTACAATATCACACGATATTCGTTACCGACTGCATGTGATCAGGCTCGATCAGGCTCAATAAATACTTGCTGAATTGTCGTGTGAAGAGTATCTGAAACTGTTCAAGGTTGCGTTTGATATAACTATCGTGCAAGAAAGGAGGTTAGTCTTACCGTTAACTAAATTCTAAGGCTACTGCGCTCTTTGTCTAGAAGCTGATACCTTTTTGTTACTTCTTCGCGGTTTTAACCACATTCAATAGATGACAGCATCTTACTTTGATCAGACAGACAGGGGAACACTCCGCGACAAGGACAAATATATATATATACAGACAAGAAACGTGATAATGTAGGCTAAGGATAGAGAAACATATGTACACGAATATCTATACACTTATCAAAGATAAGTGAGATTCTTTCAGGCAAAGAACGCACTATTAAATGATAAGGACATGTGCGTATACTCACAAATGATACAGAGAAAGTAAGTTGAAGCCTCAATTAAACAAATGTGACTGACAGATTATAAATCAATTCTTTCAATTAGTTTTTTTTCTGTAAATAAAAATTTGACAAACTCATGGGCATTGAAACACTATCACCACGTAGCGGTGAAACAGAAGAACTAATCGCTATTTCTGTCTTAGTTTGTGTTGTTGCTTTCCTTGTCTGCGAATGTGCTGCCATCTATCAGAACGAAGTAAAATTTAATAAACGTCAGTCGATAACTAGAACGAAACAGATACGTGTCGCACGATAGACAAGGACGGAAATAGCGATTAGTTCCAGCATTTCACCGCTACGTGGTGATAGTGTTTCAGTACCCATGAATCGATCAAATTTCAAAATTGTCAAAAAAGCTAATTGAGAAGATTGAATTCTAAACTTTCACGATTGTATTTCTCGAATTGGACTGCCAGTTTACTTTTTATATTTCATTCAACCCACGAAATGCCCACCCACAAAGACTCCGAGATCGAAATAATAATTTGCTGCAAACTATATTCGAATTTTCTGATTACTTTGAAATTTTATAATTGCGTGCACTTCAAATTCTCTCGTACTTGATAAATCGAATAATATAAAACGCGTCGCATGTATTTGGAAACATTATTTTGTTGCAACTGACTAACTGAAGTTATTCTTCGGATCGATATCTATTTCATTGCGATACACACAGGTGAATGAAAATCTCGTTCAGGTGTATTTGCGCTAGCAAAAATGTTCAATCACATCTACTCTAAAGGCTCCAGAATTGATCATCTATGAACAGACGAGATAGTTATTCAGGTCTGTTCAAATGACGGAAGTTATCCAAGCTCCAAGACGACAAACAATCTTTGTATTTAAAGGAAAGATTTATCGAAATACTGATCAACGTCGATGGTGACGCGACGCGCGGGACGCGTTCAAACGTGTGACGCAATGCGCAGTTGCGGTGCGCGTTAATGATGTACCGGAGGCGACGGTCGTGAGGTGGTGTCCTCTCGGGATGAAAACGGTCGGATGACAGCCAACCAGTACGGCATACGGCGTACGTTTCGAACGAGAAGCTAGCTATGTTGCACGCGATTCGAACTGTTGCGCCGCGACGGTGGTAGTGGTCGTCGACGCGTCCTGAGTATCGGAGCTTTTCACCCGAGTCCTCCGGGTGACATTGTCTCGCCTCTCGTTTGCAAAACGATCAATCAATCGAGAAAATTGGCAAAAGAAAGAAAGAAAGAAAGAAAGAAAGGAAAAGAAGAGGAAAAGAAAAGTTGATTCGCCGCGGAGGGACAGCAGAGGTCCCTCGGTCGTGCAGCATCTCGCCTGGAATATTAACGCGGCACGTATGTACAAATATGCGAGTATGCGCGTGTACATACGGTGAAAGTACGGGTTACAACGCGAACGATGGCGGTGGTGCGTTGTATCGTTTAGAAGTGCGCCCACGTTCGCCGTGCAAGATCGATAAACGGTCGAGTGTTACCTGAAACGAGCGTGTTCGCTTGCGCACAACGAACGAA